AGTTTACATCCTATTTTCATTGGACGATAATGGAACTTGATCAGTGTCTTCATCTCCTTCTCTGCCGCTCCAAGAAATATTTCTGCTTGTCAGCTCCCCCTTAGCAGGACTCTCTGGTGTGACCCTTAGCCAGGTCCTTTATTAAAGGGTAGTGCATGCAAGGCTTGCAGGCAACTGTGCCATTTATCATTGTGCAAAATGCGTGCAGAAAGTGCTACTGACAAGACAGTAAGGAAATAAAAAAGTGATACAGCAATTTCCTAACCTGAATTTTTTCTACTTCCTTTTCTCTCACAAAGGTCTGGCATATCACCATTTTAGTAGCAATAAGTCAGTATTTGCTTTCTGAAGACTTATGTTTCTGCTGAAGTCTTATGAAACTGAACTGTAGGCACCTCAGTAATTTTAGAACAGCTTAGTCTGAGAGGTAAATTAAAATTAGGGAAAATTAGACCATTTTTAATGAGATGGTTATTACACTGAATAATGATGATTATTGCTTCTGCTTAATAAAGCCGTCAGCCAGTGCAAAATATATATTAAGGGAAATTACATTACATTATATTTCTATCAAGTCAGAAATTTGGTGCGTTGCTTTCCCAAAAACCATGGAAATAATGAAATGTTAGACAGGGCTTCCTTTTCCAAATAGGATCAAACATGGAGCTTTCAGAAACAGCCCTTTAAAGCCCTGATGTAAAGCCTATTAAATCTAATGTTTGTGAAGATTTCTGCTGACTTCTATGCCATGTAGATCAGGACTTGACTGAAGTGAGCAGCGTTCCCCCTGTTGTCTCCACTAAATACCCAGACAACAGCACATGGTGAATGCACACTGAGCTCAGTGCTTGCTGGCACATTTCCTTTTCTCTTCTGATTTACCTGGCAAATTAGGAGATGGACTGCATCTCTTAATCAGGGTGAGACACACTGATATTCCCAAGGTGAAAACAAAGAGGAATATTACCTATTATCTGTTATAATAGATGTAAAAATTAAATCCTGCTGTGGAAACCTTGGTGTGGAAGCTTCAGACACTTAGAGGTGAGGCACCTCCCCAGAAGCCTGTCCAGAGACATAAATGACCAGGAAATTTGAGTGCTCAGCTCAATTTTTTGTTTAAAAGTAGGCCCAGTGTGAAAGCCTGCCTTCAGCAAGAGCTGCTGTCCTGAGGAATGGGAGCTGGGGTGGCTCTCTCCTCTGTGCTGGGAGTCTACAGGACAGTAAACTGCCAAATGGGCAAAGACGGGAGGTGGGAAGTGAAGCGTGCATTCCTACTACCAGCCCTTCTCTGTGTAGGGTTCAATCTAAAAGGATAAGTTTTTGTGGAATAATTTTATATAAACTAAGCCACACTTTTCTTACAGAAAGGTGTTTATTGCAGCTGCAGTAGCAGTAAATTTTACAGACTCTGAGAGAGATCAAATAAGCGGCAAAAACTGCATGACTCAATACATGCCTATGCCAACTGAACCAGTGAACCAGGGCACAGAGGTGAGCAAGTCTTTCTGTGGTGTGTGTTAAAAACTGGATAAACAGAGAGTTACCATATAATTTTATTTTTTCAGAGCGCTATTCCTCATACAAAGAGCAATGTATTATCTTAAATGAGGATGATAACATGATTAGTAAGTCACAGCACATGTGTTTCTTAGGTTTTCATCCTACTTTGAAACGTTTGCAAATCAACAAGATTTCTTATTTTATGAAGCCCATTTTGTAGAGTTCCATAAAACAGGTTCAACAGTCACAATTTCATTACCATTATATTGTTGCCATGGTAATGTGGCACCAATTCAATGGATGGGCTTTTCATCCTGGGCTTATAGAATTGCTCTTCCTGTCAAAAATACATCTATATGGAAACAGCAAACAGACCTTACCACTGGAGTACGAGCACAAAATATCACATGCTAATTTGGCTGGGAATGTATCATGTTACTGGCAGCAGAGCCAGAAATCATCAGAAACATGGTAGAAGTTACTAAGCACCATACACAATAGCAAAGTCACACTTCAAAATTAAGAAAGTTACACACATTCATTGGTGCAGTATCTGAATGTACTATTGCAAAAGCCCTTGGTTCTACTGTGTTCGTTCTCTGAAATCCTGTTAGGAGGGCACAGTGCAACTGGGAATCTTGGAGGAAACAAAAGCAGGAACACACTAAAGAATAAGATGTGAGCTAAAGGTGTGTTGGTCCTTCTCCCATTTTGGTGTTCTGCAGCATGTTCTGGGCTAATTGCTGCCAAATGCAACACCTTGTTTCTCTGGTCTGTAAAATTGGGATAATGCCCCCTCTGCCCCTGTGCAGAGTACCTGGTGTATACCAGATAGTGAGTGATGGCTGGTATTGCTAAACACTGTCGTTAAGTAAAGTAGAAATGTGCTTAACAGCTCCAGGAAAATGCCCTGCACAGATCTACAATTTGAGAAATGTCACTGAGAGGACCTGGACTCACCCAGGGAAATGCAGAAGAGATGACAGACTGAGCAGGTAACAGTACATATGAACTTATGGAGAAAGGATACTTACATCATTAAAATATCATGACAGTTTATAGGTTTTTAAAAATAAATATTGCAGGCTGCAGGAGAAGTATCGACAGCAATCTGAGCAAGGAATACAATATAAGAAATAATACAATGTAAGGCAACAGCAGGGTGGCTTGTTTATAATATGTTAAAACACTTTCTTGTGTATTTGCACTGGTATTTGTTATTTACATAGGAAAAGTCTTTTACCATCCTGACACATGATGTTCAGTCTATCATTCCTTAGCTTAATCATGTTGTGTCCTTTGTAGCAGCAAGGGTAAAGTACAGACAGGAGAGTATTCAGTATAATGAAAGATGTGTTCCACTTTACATGATAAGTTTTTTCTGATTTGCAAAAGCAGTATCTTCTCCAGCTGAGTGAGGAAAGAGAGACCTTAACTTGCAGATAAAAAAACCTCAGAGAATAGGCTTCTCCTCCATTAGGATCCTATTGTTCACACACAAAAAGATAACTGCTGTTACCACTATTATCTATTTATTTACTTTTACCATGATATAGCCACAGGACCCCACTGAGACTGGGACCTACTTGCCTAAGCACAGCAAAACCCCAGGGCGCTGCAGTCTCTCCTTCAGACAATTTATAAGCCACAGGAGAGGAAAGAAAGAGAGAGGGAGAGACAGCTTAAGTGACTGTCTAGGTCAGAGGAGAAGTCAGTGGCAGAGGCAGCACGGATCTCCAGTCCCTGAACCCTCCATTGGGAGGCGCGTCCTGGTGGGTGAAGGACGTATTTGGAGATATCCTCCACCAGATTCTGAGGATTCACACCTAACTCATACACAGAGCCATGCTTACCCCCTAATTTCAATAGCTGCATCTGTGCTGCTGAGCAGGGGTGGCCTGAGGCAAAGCTTGCAGTCAGCTGTGAAGCCCACCCCTATTACCTATTGAACACCTTCAGGCTGGCTCCAGGGCAACCCTGTTAATCCTCTCAGGGACAAAGGCTCAGGAATACCCTGTGTTTTTTGAGCATGTCCAAGGGCACCAGGGTCAGGGTGTCTGCCACAGAAATATTAATGTGTTTCAACACCACAACTGAAGCAATAGGGATCAGGCTTTCATTCTTTGGAGAAGGGACTTCCAAATCCAAGCTTGAACAGATGGAGGGAGGGGGAAAAAGACAGGAGATTTTGGTCACAAGAACAAGAAGACAGTTTACATCAGAATTTGAAAACTTTGATCAGATATGATGTCTTAGATTAGGAAAGCATTAGCTTAGAATTTTTCTTGCTTTCTCCTCTCTCTCTCTCTCTCAAATCCATATAAAGTAAAACCATTAGACTCTCGGTGAAGAGACATTCATATTCTGCTCGGTAAATACCTCCTTGTGCTGTGTGATGCCTGCTGACTTTACTGCTGTTGCAGCCTTTTAAAATGCTTCCAGGGAATCTCATTCCATTTTAACTTTCTTTTTTTTTTTTATTAAGGAATCCAAAGAGAGTTTATAATAATCCCAGTTTAACTTTTTAATAAAAACTGCAAATAATAAGCTAGCTAGCAGAGATTTGATCTCATATATATATCTGATAAAAATTCGGATCTGTAGTAAAATTTGTTAGCCAGGAGTCTGTTGTCATCATATTAATGAATATAAAAGCTGGCAGCTTCAAAATGGCAATATTACAATAAGCCTACTTTTTTTATAATGGTTTTGCATTGTGCATTCAGTATTGATGAAGATTAAGATTTAGCATGCAGAAGTAATATCCATTATGATGGGATTGTCCACAGTGAATTGAGTAGGACATTTGCTTAATTAAAAGTATTTATCTTAGATGATTTAAGACATATGTCCTACTACTGAACTGATGATGTAAATTGGTTTCTTATAATCAGTTCACCACCGATGACTCCTTATACTAAATAGAAGAAGAAAAAGGTAAGAGAAGAGTCCGAAGAAAATTATAGATGCCACTGCCAGAGAATTTCAAAGAACTTAGAAGTAATGTTTAACTAACCCTATGCCACGAGCAGGAAATATACATAATCACACCCCTAATGAAGAGATCTCATAGAGCCCTAAAAGGCTGCACTTTGAGCAGAAAGTTTGGAGATGAAGACATGAACACACACCCAGATTCCCATTCCCACCCACTGCAGCTGTGCCTCAGAGGAGTTTGGAGGCAGAGCCTGGGGATGGGAGGTGGCACAGAGCCTGTGGTGGCTCTGTGACACGGTGTGAGTGTCCTGCAGGGGCTGGGCAGAGCGTCCCCAGGCTTTGGGCACGGCTGGGAGCTGAACTGCAGGGGCTGGCAAACTGGGGCAGAAGGGATTGCAAGGCAGAATGCCAGGGAGGGCAGGAACCAGTGGGATCTGCTCCTCAGGGTGGTTTTAAGTGTGTTTATAAAGACATACGGAGTGGTTTAATCTCTTATACAAATATGCTTTTAAGGGAGAACCCCAATGGGTGCAATGTTTCAACCTCTCTCAATTTTACAGCCCTACAGCCCAAGTTTCCTGGACTAGCCCACCTTCCTTCCTGCCTTGCCAAATGACTCATGGAAAGCTGTTGATCTTCAGTTTATGGAGACAATCTAACATCAGCAACTTCCTGGGGGGCAGCTACAAGGTAGGGCCACATCCAACTCCTTCGAGCCCTCTCACCAGCTCAGGTGTGCTACTGACAGGAAAAGCTCGTGACTCCGGCTCCAGAGAGCTACTTGTCGGCTTCCTGGAAACCCTGCAAAGCTGCCCCTGAGACAACTGGGCCTTCCATCAGCCAGACACACAAATCACTCACTAAATAGTTTTGGCTGAGGTTGTTGGACAAAATCTTCATAGACAGAGCCAAGAGGACAGGCAAGAAATATTTATCTTCTCTGTGCCACATGTTGTTTTTTCATAATTTCTTCTTTTCTCCTTTTTACACTCCAGGCATTTTTTTCTTTCTACATAGGCTAATAGGAAGAAATACTGTGGCTTACTCCAGTCATTTAGTTTATTTGTTTTAATTCTAATTATGAGCATTCAAATAGCAAGTGACATTTGTTGATATATGTTACACTTCTGAAACACTAGAAAAAATATCTGATCTATTCTCTGTTAATGCCTAGGTGACATTTTAGGAACAGGAACCACCTGGGAAGGGCATGTGCGGGATGGGAGCTGTCAGTGGAGTGCATGGCCGTGAATCTGGTTTTGATCTGTCCCTGTGATTTTCCAGGTGAGCCTCGGACTCTGCCTATGGTCTGTGCTCCCAGATGACAGCCCCATGATGGCAGATGGAGGGACATCCTGGCACTGCATCCTTTGCTGCTCCCAGAGCTGCCACACGCCATGGGACCCCAGCTGCTGGATGCCTGACCCAGCTGGACTGCTGCTGGAGATGTGCTGGGGCTGGCTCAGCCCTGCTTGCTGCTGCCTGTCTGCCTTATCCTTCTGAGTTATGCCCCAGCCCGCTCCTGCCCTGTTGTGCTGCTGCCTCCAGGCTGTGTTGAGTTTTCAATTATCACAATATACAGTGCAGATGCTATGCAAAACAGCCAGTGAGGCTGAGCACGCTGAACTCAGGAGAATCACAGTTAAATAAAAGTACTGCTATGATACCAGGAGGCTGATTGGAACCACAAGATACCAGTGCTGTATCCTGTGGCTTTTATGTTGGTAGATGTAGATTTCAGCCATTAGAGTCTAGCTATCCAACAGATAACAACTAGAGGAAATGGATCTGGGTATCTTCACTTGTGAGTAACTGATTCACATTTGCCATTAAATTCAGAACCTGGTAAACTGCAGAAGAAAGAAAACATTTGAGATACCTACAAATACATCCAGGCATGTACTGTTGGGTAGCATCTAACTGTGTGCAACTTAAACTCCCTGAACACAAAATACACTTAAAGTGGTACATCAAGAGAGCTCTGACTTCAGAGAAACAATGTGTGGTTACTTGTCAACCCCAAATTCAGGCACGCAAATAACCAGCAAGGGTAGGTCTCAACTTCTCTATTTGTACATGCAGTAACAAGCTCCCAGATGATAATGATATTGTGATATCTATGTGGGGGTAAAAGACTATGACGAAAGAGAAAGAAATAAGCAATAAATACAATAATGTCAAACTTTCCTGTTATTAACTTCTAGAAAAGCCCAACAGCTGGAATTTTAAAATGTTTTACATAGACAAATGTAAAGAGAACAACACATCGAGTGTGGTTTTTTCCAAAGGAAAATGAAATAGGCATACAGAGAAAATTATTATATTTAGTACTCTCAGGGCAAATTCTAGTTAAGGACTACGAAATAATTTGAAAATATTAATGATTTAGCCTCACAGCTAGCTTTTAGGGAGATAATAATGATAATTATTACTGTAAATAAATAGTATTATTATCATTCTTATTCAGAAGAATGAAGTATTGATGCATAGAAAATTCCGTATTTGTCCAAAATACAGAATATATTTGTTTGCGTTTTACTACTATAACCATCCTTCTCAAGAACTATTGTATATATTAGGATTATCCTTTTCCAAATACTCTTTGATATACTGTTCAGTTTATCAGTTCTAAAACCCAACCAACCAAGCTTCCTTGTGAAACAGTGCCAGTCAACATCTCCATTTGCATGTGAATTCTCTAGCAGCAAGTCCTGGTTAAAAAAAAAAGAAAAAAAAAAAAAAAAGGAATCATGAAAATCAGTACAAAAAAATCTGTCAAGGCCCCATCTGTGACTGGGTATCAGAATATCACCAAGAAGCTCTGAGGAACAAAGTTCATTCCAAGTCTAACACATAGAGGATTTTGGTCGATGAAATTAATTCAGGCAGGGAGAAATCAGAGTGCATACCATGAAAAACTCTGTTCCTCCACTGAGGATCAAAGAAAAGAGGCATCATTGTGTGTGGTCTTGGGTTTGGTGCACAAAGCCATGCTTAAACACGACAATAATCAGCATGCTCATGTCTTGTTTTGATAGCCAGCTGCTCCTCTGAGGAGAGCCAGGGAATGAGGGACCTCTGGTCCTGGCAAGATGAGGACTCCGATTGCATGTGATTGCTGCAAAAAGCAAGATTTACAGCCAGCTACCTGAAGCAGAATGGAAACAAAATCATAGTCTCCACCCTGGCCTTGAAAATCCCTCTACAAACATGTTTATTTCCTTCTGAATGGGAATATGTAAAGGCTGGGGACACTTATTTGTAGGCTATTTTTATATCTCCTCTTCAGGATCTGAATCTTGCATATTAATGAACTACAGGAAATAGGAAAACCAAACATTAACACCATTCTAATGCAGCATACTATTTTTCTTTCCCTTTTTTAAACTGTTAGAGTATGCAAATGTTCAGTTAACTGGTCCTCATGTTTTCTCTTTATTGAATTGCTTTCACTATGGCAAATAAATATTCATAAAGAAATGTGGACAATAAATCATTTCAAATAGTTCAAAGCCATTTTCTTTCTAGACTGCATATATTTTCAGCTGTAACTCGCCTTTAATATTTCATTCAAAAGACAGACTTGTAGAAGGACAATAGAGATAATGTGTCAAGTAGTAATTAAAACAGGGAATAATGATTAAAACCATTTTGATCTACATTGTGCTCTGCCAGATTCATAATCTCCTGTGTTTGTTAGGATGACATTCTACTTGCTTTATACAGAAACTCAAAATAAACTTCTGTTTGAAGACACTGCTGAAAACAAAAGATTTCAACCCCAAGCTTGTGGGTTTAGGTGTATCTTCTGTACCACCCTAGCAAGATAAACGCAAGCAGGCACTGTCTTTCCTGCTAATATTGAGACTTCTCCGGGAAGCAGATCCAGATGCAGAGCAGAAGACAAGGAAGGGCCATCCCAGTGTGTACAGGTAAATGTCACCTGTCTCACCATTTGGATTTAAGCTAAGAGCTTCAAAAGAAATGAAATTTAAAGATCTGGTTAACTTATACATTTAGGGATCTTGGTTCAAATTCAAGTAATAATTATGCTCCTTGTCTCATTGTATGTTTTGGCTGTTAATACACATATTTGGCCCAAACTCATTATCTTTCCTGATATGTTGCTGACTTTAGGCCCTGATTCAACAGAGCACTTACATACAGACTTAAATAAATTGATTTAGGAAAGCATTTGTATTTGTGTTTAATCTTGGGCAGACATTCAACTTTCAAATCAATGGGACTTATGAAGAGCCCTGACCTTTGGGTCTAAATATTTGCCAAATCAGTGCACTGATAGAAATATATTGGATTAGATACATGTCTAATCAGAATTTTAGTCCCTACTTTCATGGGTAAATACCCATAGATAACACATTATTCCGCTCAAGAAATCCATTTTATAGAATTTATCAGAAAGCCTTAAGTCACGTTTTCTGTTTATGTCAAAAATACCAGATGAACAGTGTCAGTCCTTGATAGTGTATCTGTAATATTCTTCAAATAAATAAAAGTCAGGAAAAGTGCTGACAGAAAAGGGCATTCATAATTATTTACCAATACCTTCTCAATTGCCTAGCATGTGGCAATCCTTTGGAGAACAGGAAGGTGGAATGTCCCACGGACTTGAAGAAAATTGCATATGAAATATAATGGGAAACTCTTCCCTAAAACCAGCATTTATACGGGTCATTTATATATACATGGAATTTTGAGAGATCTCATATTTGTATTAGAGAATGAGGGCAGCCAGGGTAAAACCATGGATGTTTCTGGTATCACAGTGTAGAGGTTATACAAGTGCACCTATTGCCAAATCTATGAGATTAGAAGAAGCAGATGCTAAAATAATTGATGCTATGATTCTATGAAATAAAGTTATCTTCTTGCTGTTCTTAAAAGAATATTCACATTTAGGTTTTCTTTATTATGCTATTAAGAAGGCAAACAGAGGCTGTCAAACATTGTTTATAGAGTGGGAACATATAAAAGGAGAAGTAGATTACAATAGGTCCCATCATATCATGTAATTTGAAGAGTGATGAGTATGAATGTCATAAGAAGATGGAGGAAAAATCAATGGGTGCCACATCTGTACAACCATAGGGCAATACTGTGATCCACATTATCCCACTGGGTTCTGTGGGCAGAGTTTGGGAATAGTGCACAAAAAGCAGCTGTTGAGTGTTCACCTGGCTCACACAATCACATGGATCGATCCTAATGCCGCCTACACTCACTTTGGAGGGGGTGAGTCAGGAATTTGGAGCTGCTGTATTGTACACACTGCATGCAGGCTCTGGAGCAAGGCCCCTTCGAGCAAGGGGCAGACTGCAAGGGGAAAGCACAAGGGTCTTATCCTCCTCTATGACTCTCACATTACAAAAATAAATTATAAAAAGCTCAATCTCGCTTTTGCATCTACTGTGACCCAGGGGAGGGGAAGATTACAACAAATACAAAAGAGTCACTGCCTCTGATAGGCATTTCCATATTAAGGCATGAATTGGAGCCAAATTTGCTAATTTAAGTCACCTGCTCTCAATGAAATCAATTAGTGCCTAGCAGATGCAAAAGGATTATGAAGCTCAAGGTGAGCAGACATAGGTCCTTGGTGGATGAAAGGCATTTTCCAGTGTGGGGAGAGGATTTCTTTAATCAGTTCTTTAGTTTCTGCTGAAATTGTGCTGCTTTAGCGAACTTCATTCTAGAGGTATGTTTTGCAATTGATTTAAAGAATTTGGGGTTTCATGTTTTTTCACCTTTTCTGATACCTTTGCTTAGAGTGCAATAATGTTTTTTCTATGCTGCATAGAACATACAGGTCATAGAAAAAAAATGTTGCCCCCTCTCTTCACTGTAGTAGTGTCTACACTGTTATGTCTTTTGAGGAACTAGAAAAAGTCACCAGCTCTGCTATCAAACATTATGCTTTTATGCCTATTCCTGTTCTCAGAGTTTTTCTCCTTTTTAACTGATAATGGTTATGATTTGTATCTGAAAGTTACTTTGATGAATCTGCCTTTTGACTTTATTTTTTGATTTTGCTTACCAATATTGGGTCAAGTTCTGAAATACAACAGATTTGCACTGAGTTTGTCAGAGATAGGCAGACTTCTGAACTTCTAGATGCTTAACTTTATATCCTAGGCAAATTACCTTTTCTCATTACCCTTTTTACTAAAGAAAAGACTAGTGTACCCTTTTTCAAATGTGTAATAGTAAGGAACATGTCAAGGCATGCTAATCATAAGGAAGAAAGTCCTACAGATGCTCAAATTCCTATGCTTTTAGCAACAGTTTAGCATCTATTACTGTAGTTCTCTATGGAGCAAAAGAAGTTCATTGCAGGTTACACTATATACACCTCACACCCTGATGCAGCAGTCAAGCTAAGGGCAGATGAAATGTAACACAGATTATAGTAACTTGATAGGAAAGAAATAATTCTTAATGCTCATCCACAGAGGTGGGGAAATAAAAAACATTTCCCACTGCAAGCATATTTCTTTTTTTTCCATGTTTACCTGGAAATTGTGAAATCACCTGAAATAAGCGGGGTGTAAAAACTCATTTGTATCTTGCATTGTGTTTGAATAATTTCATTATGTTCAAAGCATCTTTATTGGAAGGATGCTTGGTTATGAGTTTTGGGTTTTTTTCCTTCTTTTTTATTTTAAATTTTTAAAATTTTCCAGTCCTCTGGCTTTTCTCCAAGCAGGAGAATAATTCTAACTTATAGCAGATGTAGTCCATCCCTTAAGACTCAGGATCAATTAGAAAGAAGGTGATTGTTCTCCTTAACATCCTAAGATTTACTTTGGTTTAAAAGTCAGCTTTGTATCTGGCAGACCCATTATTTACTAAAATAAATACTGCAAAAGCAGCCATACTCTGCTTGAAAATTAATAAAAACTAGCTTGACTTTCTACTCAAAGATAAACAGCTCATCACAGAAGAGTAAGAAAACAAAAGGCTCCTGATGCTACGACAGAGTTAAAAGCAGAAGTTCCACATGGATGATGGGCAAGTGAGCAAAGGGAATGAAGAACAGGTGGTAGAATGGAGAGAAGGGGAGGGGATAAAAAATGGGAAAGGTGTATTAAAGGCAAAAGCTTAGACTAAAGAAGCACATGCAGCCCCAGGGGTATGCCTGGGGCACTTAAAAAAAGTTACGAATAAAAACCCCAAACTCCACTGTGATGTATGTCTTGATAACAGAAGTGGCATCTGTATTGTAGAAACTTCAGATACTCATGTAGGAATTGAGGTGTTATATACTAAAGCTTGGCCCAAACAGACTTTTATTTTGAGTGCTTTTCTTCACTTTTTGTATTTGATATGTTAGAATAGCAACCATAAGCTTAGTTGGAAGCCTCAAGGCTTCTGTGGTGTAGTAAAACAGCCCTGACAGAGTTGAAATTCTGGACATAGATGTTCCCTTAAAATGGAACATGAAGGATCTAGTTTGCCTTTTAAGTTGGCAATAGTTAATTGAGAAAGACTTTAATCAATACTTCATGTGATTTAAACCTGATGCAACCAAGTAGCCTGTCTCAGAAACTTTCCAACAGGGGTTTGCAATCTCCCTAGGACTCAATAGTATTTTGATGAATAATATTTCTAGCAGGCTAATTTTCTTGCTAATTATCATCAAACACCTAGACAGACATTCTGCTGTAGTTGATATGCTTTGAAAAAACTAAAAGTCCCTTCAATCATGGGCAAAAGGAAATTAAAAAATCATATATAAAGTGATATAAAGATTTTTAAATCTTAAAGCAGTTTTTCATTACAATATCTTGGTGCTAAGATACAACATCTTAGAGTTGGTAGATAAAACACTCCCCATAATTGATTTTGAAATTAAAAGTCATATTCCATGGATAAGAGTCCTAAATTTTATATTTAAAAATAAATTAGGTTGTAGAAATTCTAAATGGCAAACTGTGTTCTCCTCCAACCAAATGTGTTCTGACCAAAGGGATTCTATGAATTTTTGGTTTTGTTGAGTGCTTTATTTCCACTTTAAAGGAAAAAATAAACCCTACAATATAGTTTACCAAAATTCACGGATCTATAAAGAACTTTTGGCATGTAAGTCCCAAGTGTATTCTTCCTATTCCAAAACACTTTGAGGTTACACTTAGTCATAAATGTTTCTAGTTTTCACTTCATTCTGTGCAAGTGCTATGAGATGGAGGAACAGACTTAAAAGGAAAAAAATTCTCACTGGAAGAAACAAAAGCAGGTATGTCTCTCTCTGCCATAGTCTGCATCCTTCCAAATCCCTCCTGCTGATGCCAAGGCTTGTCCCTCACAAGATCACAACTATGTCTGCAGTGAGCAGTACTTGCTTGGAGTCACGTTACTCAAGCAGTGCAAAATCAGATCCAAGGAAACTTGTGTTACTGGGATCACTGGCTTTACTGGGAGCAGAGGGGGTTATCTTTAAACAGCTGGGATGTACTTGCAAAGCTCAGAACCCCAGCTCAGAGCTGGCAGTTTGAGGA